AGTGCACATAAGTAATGTAGCAGGGTAAAACATGTTTGTGAGTGCACATAAGGAATGTAGCAGGGTTAAACATGTTTGTGAGTGCACATAAGTAATGTAGCAGGGTAAAACATGTTTGTGAGTGCACATAAGGAATGTAGCAGGGTTAAACATGTTTGTGAGTGCACATAAGGAATGTAGCAGGGTTAAACATGTTTGTGAGTACACATAAGGAATGTAGCAGAGTTAAACATGTTTGTGAGTGCACATAAGGAATGTAGTAGGGTTAAACATGTTTGTGAGAGCTCAACCTTCCCCCTACCTGAAACAATGGTGTAACAGTACAACATTAGAGCAAACTATTAAATTCAATGCTGTCTCACCTGTGAACATCATTGATTCCCATGAAAACCCTGCAGGTAAATTAAATTCAAATTGAATATAAACCTGTACAGTTTCCTAACATCCTCTTTGTATTTTTGTAGATATTTTATAGAGGAATGACTCAACCTCCTGTTAGTGGACCATCATGATTCATCCTAGAAGAATAATTGGAAAAAAATCTGATCCTCCATTTTTTTTTGTTCAGCATGGTTCATTTTAGATTGAGCTCATCATTATTTATCTTTGAGTAATGACTGCAAAATTTTTCAGTCTCATCCTTGAGGAAAGCAGCATGGTTCATTATAGATTGAGGCTCATCCTAGCGAAAGGAATAGACAAAATTCACATCCCCCTCCTTGGAGTCTCATTATGGTACATTATAGATCAAGTTCATCCTACAAGGAAATAACAGCTTTCCCCTTGAGAAATCAGCATGATTCATAAAAGATTGCAGCTCATCCTACAGGGGAAAAAACAGCTTTTCCCTGAAAAATCAGCATGGTTCATTAAAGAATGCGACTCATCCTACAGGGGAAAAACAGCTTTCCCTTTGAGAAATCAGCATGGTTCATTAAAGAATGTGGCTCATCCTACAGAGAAAAAACAGCTTTCCCCTTGAGAAATCAGCATTGTTCATTAAAGAATGTGGCTCATCCTACAGGGAAAAAACAGCTTTCCCCTTGAAAAATCAGCATGGTTCATTAAAGAATGTGGCTCATCCTACAGGGAAAAAACAGCTTTCCCCTTGAGAAATCAGCATTGTTCATTAAAGAATGTGGCTCATCCTACAGGGAAAAAACAGCTTTCCCCTTGAAAAATCAGCATGGTTCATTAAAGAATGTGGCTCATCCTACAGGGAAATAACAGCTTTCCCCTTTGGAAATCAGCATGGTTCATTAAAGAATGTGGCTCACCCTACAGGGAAAAAACAGCTTTCCCCTTGAGAAATCAGCATGATTCATAAAAGAATGCAGCTCATCCTACAGGGAAAAAAACAGCTTTTCCCCTGAAAAATCAGCATGGTTCATTAAAGAATGCGACTCATCCTACAGGGAAAAAACAGCTTTCCCCTTGAGAAATCAGCATGGTTCATTAAAGAATGTGGCTCATCCTACAGGGAAAAAACAGCTTTCCCCTTGAGAAATCAGCATGGTTCATTAAAGAATGTGGCTCATCCTACAGGGAAATAACAGCTTTCCCCTTTGAGAAATCAGCATGGTTCATTAAAGAATGTGGCTCATCCTACAGGGAAATAACAGCTTTCCCCTTTGGAAATCAGCATAGTTCATTGAAGAATGTGGCTCACCCTACAGGGAAAAAACAGCTTTCCCCTTGAGAAATCAGCATGGTTCATGAAAGAATGTGGCTCACAATACAGGAAAAAAAACAGCTTTCCCCTTGAGAAATCAGCATGGTTCATTAAAGAATGTGGCTCACAATACAGGAAAAAAAACAGCTTTCCCCTTGAGAAATCAGCATGGTTCATTAAAGAATGTGGCTCACCCTACAGGGAAAAAACAGCTTTCCCCTTGAGAAATCAGCATGGTTCATTAAAGAATGTGGCTCACCCTTCAGGGAAAAACAGCTTTCCCCTTGAGAAATCAGCATGGTTCATGATTGAATGTGGCTCACAATACAGGGAAAAAAACAGCTTTCCCCTTGAGAAATCAGTATGGTTCATTAAAGAATGTGGCTCACCCTACAGGGAAAAAACAGCTTTCCCCTTGAGAAATCAGCATGGTTCATTAAAGAATGTGGCTCACCCTTCAGGGAAAAAACAGCTTTACCCTTGAGAAAACAGCATGGTTCATTAAAGAATGTGGCTCACCCTACAGGGAAAAAAAAATAGCTCTCCACTTGAGAAATCATCATGGTTTATTAAGGAATGTGGCTCAACCTACAGGGAAAAACAGCTTTTCCCTTGAGAAATCAGCATGGTTCATTAAAGAATGTGGCTCATCCTTCAGGGAAAAAACAGCTTTTCCCCTTGAGAAATCATCATGGTTTATTAAAGAATGTGGCTCATCCTACAGGGAAAAACAGCTTTTCCCTTGAGAAATCAGCATGGTTCATAAAAGAATGTGGCTCATCCTACAGGGAAAAAACAGCTTTCCCCTTGAGAAATCATCATGGTTTATTAAAGAATGTGGCTCATCCTACAGGGAAAACAGCTTTCCCCTTGAGAAATCAGCATGGTTCATTATGGCTTATTGATCATCATGGCTCATCTTCCAGGAATGACTGCAAAAAATTCCAAGCCTCCTTTTAGGTTGATCATCATCCTGTGGTACTTATTAAATGCATGTATAATGTTTTCCATAACAGTACATTTAGTATTCAAATATGTATGTTGTTTTTTGGATTTGTTTTCATAATGTAGAAAACACAATGAATAGTAACCATGAAAATATGCATTGGAACTAATTAACCAGTAGAAATAACATAAGTTTAATAATAAAGAATTGTCATTTTAAGTGAAAAGTTGCAAAGAGAATGATCAAGCTAATTACATAATGTAAAATAAGAATATCTACAATTTGTCAACAGAGACGGGTAATCCATGTTAATTATGATCCCAAAAGAGTAATTAAAAATTGATTTATGGTACCAATTATTGGACATTTTTTGAAAAATTGATGGTAAAATCATACACAACATAACCTCATGACAAATGAAGAATGGGTTGAGTTACTAAAATCTTTACTTATGCCTCAGAGATTTCAACACTCAGCAATTAAATAAAAAAGTTTGACTTTTGAATGCCTATATGTCTGTGCTGTTGATAGTTTTATAATGATGTTTTCTGCCATTTGTTTTGTACATACATTTGTCTTTGTTGAGGTGTTAGATTAGATTCTATCTGTGAAGTGAAGCACTACAGTTTACGGCTTCCGCCAAAAACATACTGGTTCAGCTGTAAAGAAAAAGGTTACATTTTGTGTGATATGATAGCTTTTGTGGATTCATTCATTTTCGTGGGTACTAATTTTCAAGGATTGAAAAAAAATGTATTTTTTTGTTGAACATTTAAATTCATAGTTCATCTGTACCCACAGAATCCATGAAAACTGGTGCTCAATGAATAATAATAAATCCACAGTCTTATTTTGCCCCTGAGATCTAAGCAATGGTAAAGTTCTTCAAACCTTATAAAAACATGCAAATTTTATTGATGGCCACTTTATATATAGCATTTTGTAAAATGTATGTTGCAAAACATATTTTTGAGTAGGTTTAAAATCTTAATATTAATGCAAAGATATTAAATTTAGACAATTCTGACAATTTTCCCAAGAAAATTGATGGACTGCAGCAAAAATGTTAGACAATTGAAAGATATAATTACTCATATCTGACTGACTTGTAAATTGTGAACACCTGAGGATATTTAACTATAATAGATTTGTAATAATTTATGATTTTCAAATTCCAGGGGCAAAGAAAATGCTTTATCATACTTTCTCATTTTGCAGAATTTACAGAATAATTTTTAAAACTGAAATTGAGTTTTAGTTTTTTAATTCCTTGAAACTGTTTAAGAAATGGCATAAATACTTGTAATTATAAAATTATAATTGTGGAATAAGCATTTCATGAGTTATCTCCCATTGGTTAGAATAATACTTCTTGCATAACTATATTCTTTCAAGAGTTTACAAAGGTTAAATCCTTCACCCCAGTGACCTCAAGCTCATTTTGCATTGTACTCACTGTTTAAACTAATACTTGGCTGAATGTAAGAATATTTTTGATACAAAGATAACAAAGAGGTCAAAATCTTGGCTTTAAAAAACAGAAGGTCAGAAAAAACAATGATCAAATATCAGCACATATGTTATTTACTATTAGGATCATTTATATAAGAGTACAAAACTTACAAAGAATTCCAGATCTATTATAAAGATTCTTCTGGGATTTTAGAAATAATGATTGCCTGGTGTACATCTTGTCATTACATGTATTGCTCTTATGTAATAAGTTCTACCTCATTTACAAGTGAAATTATTCATGTATATATTACCCTTTCTACAATTCCTGTCTAGACAACAAAAAATTAAATGGAATGGCCAAACCTATGCTGTATGTAGAAACCTATTAATGAGATTATTAAAGTCAAAAATGTGGGGAATGATGCTATGGTTTTTGTCTAAACAATAGCATTCTGTAAACTCAATCAGAATCTGAAGGAAGGAAGTCGTAACTTAGAAAATAATGACCACGCCAGAGATGTGTCCAAGTAAGAATAACATATATACCTCACAAGCTGTGCACCAGTGGTGCATAAACTGGAACTTTTTCAAAACTTATTTGTTATGTTTATCAAGATAATGTTTGTTTAGTTTCCTCAAGTATGTAGAACTTATGTATAAATAAAGTTTGCAGTACTTAATGAAGATATATTGTGCATTTTGTGGAGGTTAATTCTCCAAATCTTCTTTAGATCTTTGTAGTGCTGTGTAGTTACGCAAAATTAGTTATTGAAAAATATGTAAATACATGTGTTTTCTTTTTTGTTTATAGTAAAAAAGTAGTTGTTGTCAATTATTGTTACTGCAGAATAAGACATGTATGTATGTATGTGGTTTACAGTGGTGCCAAGTCTAATGATTGGTGTAGAACATCATTGATATAGTTAATACAATATTAGTATGATTTGTATTACAGATCTATGATTTACTATCCTGTACGGAGAAACATTCCCTTAGTGAGATAGTTACATCCCATTACATCAGTACATGGCAAGTTAATGTGGACAATACTGTTAATTCTCACTGTGATTGTAGTCAGAGTACGTAGAATTCTGGATTGAACATTGGCACTTCATGTGTTTACATCGTTTACTACGTTCCTGACTTGTGACATTACTGATAAAGGCCATACTGCACATACTCTATATACATAGTTGTTATTTAGTGACAGTTCTTTGGAAATATAGGATTAACAGATACATACATAAAGTGCTTTGTAAAGGTAAGATTTATTTAAGTGTTTGGCTCAGTTGTTTTATTATTTATAAAATCTTTAGTTTTTACATTTTAATTATCATCGCATCATTCTCACTCATTCAGCAAAAGTAATCCAAAATTTTGAATTTACCAGATTTAAGTCTGTTAATTACTTTAGACCATGAATCTTAGACTGATGTGATTCTAAATAAGTATATAATTTTACAGTAGACTGAAATCTAATTCCATAAGAAGTCAGCTTGTATGTGATTTTAGAAACTCAATTTAGTGTATCCAGTATTTCTTGAAATTGTAAAAGTTGTCCCCCTTTTTGGAAGTTACAGTGGGAGATCTGATTACATATTTGTTAATAAAAAATAAACAAGTCAAGTTTAACACAATTCAATAAATATTTTCAAGCAAAGAAGAAAAAGTTTTATGTAGAATATTAAATAAAAAACTTTAAGCATCAATACAGGAAAATAAATCTGACCTGCAGCCATAATTTATGATCAAAAATGAAAGTTCACTCAAAATATATTCTGTGGTCCGTCAGGGCATGTTTCTCAAAAAAATTAGATAGGGAGGCATTTAAAAAAAATTATTGGCTGAAAAAAAAAATGTCACGATCCAAGACAAGGTCAGATACTAAGCAAAATGCTGGTTCACTCGAATGAGGTTACTAATTCTTCATAATATTGACATGAGATTCAGTCAGTTTTTCAGTCAAATTATTGCATAAAATCTGTTTAAGAAGAACAAATTTAAACTTTTTGAGTGGCTAAAATTGATTTATTTGGAAACTCATAAACGTTTATGGAAAACATGTTTCAAATTCTGCACGAGAGTTCTGAAAACCCCCCAAAATTTTACTGGATACAGAAATAATTTTTTGGTTTATATTATAATCAAAATGTAACCCCTGGAACCCTGAAAAAAAATGCAGTTGAACTAGAGTAATGTTCATTTATTCATATTTGGTGTTTAAAAATTCAGATTTTATATTGGATATTGTGATATAATTTGAAATTTAATATATGAAATATGATATACATGTATACCTTGGTTGAAATTATTCCCAGCAATGTTAGATCTGCAAATTTGCGTTAGCAAATTTTTGTCCTTCCGTTATGGAATTTGAATCCATGTTATGTCTGCATATATATCTATATTTATTTTGAGTTTGGAATATTATGTCAACTTTATGAAAGCGCATAAGTCAACCATCTCCTTTATGTCTGTAGAAATTGTTTTATAAACTGAAAACTAGCTTTTTATGTCCAAGGCTAATGGAACTAATTTTTTTTCAAGAAAAAATACTTTAACTTGTAATGGTGAGAAGAAGAGAGAAAACCTATTTTATGAAGTTTATGAAACATTTAGTCTGACAGAATATGAACTGGAAAGCTTCATTTTAATCTTATATGAATTGACACTGTATGTTATAAAGTGGGTTCCTGTTAGCTACAATAATAGGATTGTATATATATAGTCTGCATTGATCTATTAAATGTAAGAAGTTATAACAATGTGGAAGTTGATGGATGGCTTTCTAGTTTCTGGTTATATTGACTTATTCCATTTAGTTATTGAGTTTTGGAGAAATTTCTTTTTTATGGAAACTTTTTTGCTGCAGTTTGTTATGAGAAAATTTGGATATAGGCAACTTCCTGTTTAAGAAATGTCTAGATGCAATTTGAAGAAAATAGTCTCTTTTTATCACTTTGAACATTATTTTTATTATTTTTTGTTTTAAATGAATAAATGAAAATTGGAGGGAAGGTAACTCTTAAAGGTATATTAATGATATTAATTAAAGCAAATACATAATACACTCAAAATTGTCCACTATTAAGGTTTTGATGATTTTCATTCATGGTTTTTCTCACAATAATGCAAAAATTGGGATCCAATATATATATAGATTTTATTTCATATAAGAACTGTTTCTAGCAATTACTTGTTATTTATAACAGAATTCTGTGAATAGGTTTTTGAGAAATTGCTATTCTAAGTGAAAATATGCATATTTATAGTACTTATTACACACATTCTATATAATGATAGATCTATTTCAGCCATTTTAAATTAATGGTATCTCTGGAAGTATAAACGTTACATAGATGATCATTTATAGGATATTGAGATGTAGTTCAAAGTGATCTAAACGTTCTAAGCACTTACAAAGTTAAATTTCATTAAAATCTGAAATGCAGCTATATTACTATACTTTGCCTCAAAATAAACAAATATTTGTAGAATGAAATGGCTTTTTATACCTTTCTAGGGGGGGGGGGGGGGGGGGGAGGTGAATTCATTATCTTACCTTCTTGTTTACATGTTGATGAATTTTATTCTGCATATTTCTTTTCTCCATGCATAGCAGGCATGTACTTTTGAAAGATGCTCATTTTAAAACTCTAAAAAGTTTGGTTATTTGTAAGTTTCAACTGGGTTCAATGCTTGGTAGGCAATTTCATTGCTACATCTGTATTAAGATAAAGCATTTTATTTTTGAATGTTATGAAAAATTATGCTTAAACATAATTTATGAATTACATTTTAATATTCATTTTTTACAAAAAGATTTTTTCCTTGAGACAAAATTGTTTGAAAAACACAGCAACAAAGTAATAGACCTGTTACAAGTTTCCAATTTCCTTGTGTACAGTAATAAAAGTCATTGTATCTTTATAGAAATATGGTATTCATTGCACTTAAAGTTGTTGTAAAACTTGGCTTTATTGGTAAAACTTGTTTCAGGTTACATGTATATTTAAAAAGCTTTTATCATTTCATGAAAAAAAAAACAGTTTGAAGTGCCTTGGTGACTAGAAATGGAAATTATTTTCATTTGAAGTACATTACATACTCTTAATAACATATTAGAAATACAGAACTGAAACAATATATAAATCTCATTTGTTAAAGTGTTGAAGTGTTTCTCTTTTCACTTTTATCATAACAAAATGTAAGTCTTCCTTTACAGATCATCAATATAAGATATAAAATTTACTTTGATATAGATCTTAATATACAAAAATTTAGTGTAAGTCCCTAGCTTATAATGGAATTAGTTAAAATGATATGTCCAATTACCAGAGAGCTTAATGTAGTAATGACACAGACTGGGCAGGAAATTAGATAATTAAATCAGTTCCTATTGAGAGGCTCTTGTATACCTATAAAACTCTAAAACTAAAGTGCTAAGATACACTGTGCAGAATCTGTTAACCCTTCAAACCTGTAATAAGTATTAGAGGAAATGCACTGTGTAGATCTGCTTAGCCCTTCAAACTTTTAATAAGCACCAGAGGTGATATATTGAGACAACATATGTTTTGAATGATGTATCTTGTGGAGGATAAGTGTTTATTTTCTCAGCAGGAATAAATACAATTCAGATGTCAAAAATGCTTTTCACCAGTTATATACAAAGCATTTGAAGCTTTAAAATCTGTCTTTGATGAAAAAGTAAGATTTTCAATTATTTTTGAAGGTCAAGTAGGTACATTTGAGAAATCATTAGATGGGATTTTCAATAGACCAAATGTCAAACATAACTTGAAATAAAAAAGAGGGGAAGTCAAAGTTAACAATTAGATTTGGTCAATGTTCCCTTTGAAATCTTAAAATGTCAACTGCGATTAAAATAGAAATACAAATTTCATAAATACATGCATTGTAAAATTCATGTTAAAGTTTTGGAAATGAATATTTAAAAAAAAATTCTATTGAATTCTTGCAAACAATCTTTGACGGCAGATTTAAGTGCTTACTAAAAAATTGGAAGTTTGAAATTAGGAATGAGTAGTTACTATGGTAAATTTTGAGAAAGAAAGAAAAAAAGGAATTGCAATATGTTTTAAGTCCTCTGAAAAACTACTATGATTCAGATATTCATCAGTCTCTTAATGAAAGTCTGATTAAATGAGTATCAACTTTATATTGGATTGCTCGGACATTCTGAGCTAAGTGATACTCAAGTACTGCAGCACTCGTTAACACTCTTAATTTATATTCTGTTGCCAGTCTGAATAAGAATTATAAATTAATGTTATTAATTATTCTGATAGATTGCAGGTACAAGTTGTATGTTGCAGGCTTTTTGGTCCCTATTAAAAAAAATTGTCAATTGTGTACCTCAGTAACTTGTAAACTTACAATATTTGTCAGAAATATTTAATGAATCAAGCAACATTCTCTTACATGCCTTTATGAGCAGAGAGTATATTTAATGAATCAAGCAACATTCTCTTACATGCCTTTATGAGCAGAGAGTATATTTAATGAATCAAGCAACATTCTCTTACATGCCTTTATGAGCAGAGAGTATATTTAATGAATCAAGCAACATTCTCTTACATGCCTTTATGAGCAGAGAGTATATTTAATGAATCAAGCAACATTCTCTTACATGCCTTTATGAGCAGAGAGTATATTTAATGAATCAAGCAACATTCTCTTACATGCCTTTATGAGCAGAGAGTATTGGTAAGGGTCTTTGCTAGGAAGAGATCTATTTTTTTTTAATTCCTAGATTTAATCCCTGGATTATTTATATATATAGCTAAATAAAAATTGTATTTGTCAAAGTTTTATGAATTCTCAGCATGAAACAATGCATTAAAAAATCAGGTGAAGTAGATTAGCAGTATTAATAAGAAATAATGTCTGAGAGTATGACATTAATTAGCTTTTTGGCGACAATGGAATGTATTTATATGAAGTAGGTCAATTATAAAATAATAATAACTCAAGTAGGTTCTTCAAGTAATATAGAATATACTTTTATATTCATTACAGTTTTTGAATTGAAGAATGTAAAAACTGTAATGAGAAATAATGGAAAAATAAATTGTGTTGAATAACTTGAAATTATTGAATCTATACACTTTTTTTGTGCTTAACAGGTTCAATTTTAGAAAAGGTTGGTGGCATCAATTGTCTCGTATCTTTAAAAAGATTAAGATCACTGAAAATAAAAGTAAATCAGCCTAAAATGATTTAAGATCCTATATAAAA